ATTGCAGCTGGCCACCTTGCTCGACTTCTTGCTTCATTAATTATGGTAGAGGATGGTGACCTGCTCTGTTGGTGTCTGTCACTTGACAGATGCAAGCTCAGTAAGGATTCATCAGTCACAAGACGTTAAGCCAAGGAATTAAGTATCCACTACAGTCATAACTCCAGGCAACCCTTCGAACAACTTACAAATTTCTTCCATCCACAGCAAACGATATGAAATACACTCCAACATATTACATTAGTGTTTCCAAAAATGAGCATGCAAAACGTAAGGCAGGATGAAGCGGATGATTCAGTTTGGAAAATGCGGGGAAGAATAAGCGAATGCAAGAGAATATAGACTCCAAAAACCATTTAGATTTAAAGAAAATTAAAACCTGAATGTGAAAAAAAGGATAAATATTTAATGTGATGAACCATACAACGTTGGAATAAAGAATGAAATATAGATGTAAATGAAAAAAAATGTCGCAAGAAATAGTGAGTAGTAAATAAATCCGGCTGCAGCCCCAAGACAATTATCCGGCTTCCAATGAGACCAATTTATGAATCCCTATCACTAGCATCTACAAACTAAATGCTTAATGATCTTAAAATTGTCTGGGGATTCTTCGAAAACAAATTTAACTAAGCATTTATGTAATAATATTCTTTCTTTAGGCCTCAATTCCAGGTTTATTATCAATTACACATGCCTGACATATCAAATGAAACTAGAATCGAAATAACTTTATTGTTTCTAATCACCCTTACATTATATATCTGTTTTTTTAAAATTAGAGCTTATTGGCTGATCTCGTTTTCGCAAATCTGTCAGGTTGTCAGAATGACTTGGCCGAACTTCTCTGCTATAGTAATTATCATAATTCGCAACGTCGGAGCGCGGATTTGCCACATTCGTGAACGTTACGACGGGTTGTCTCTTCTAAGAATTGTAGCTTAGTTCTAAGATTAACAAGACTCATTGATGACGCCGGCAAAGGATCTGGGAATGTATAAAGTTCATTAATTGACGTTGGGAACTATGATAACTACTATAGCAGAGGTGCGTCGAATTAAGTCACTCTGATAACACGACAAATTCAAGAGAATGAGGACAACCCACTTTTATACATCTAAAGGAGAATGTGACCATACCAAATGCCACACCACATTAAAGTTTTCTATGCTTACGAAGCCCCCAGTTCATTATCTTATAAGGAGTCTCATTATTTGCACATATTTACAAGTGAAAGTAACTGTATCATTATCGATGCAGGAAGATGGGAAGAGTTGAAGGGCATATTTGCCTCCCGTATTCTTAATAAGAAGCCTATAAGATGTTTGAAAACATTTATTTTATAAAATCCTATCTGCGTCCTTAGCCTTCTCGCTCACTTGAATGTCGCTGCAAATAAAGATACGAAGCTCTTATGAATTAGTGTTGAAGAATAGATAAGATGATTAGACACACTAAGAACATACTGGGAAAAGCTTCTTGCGTGCCATTTCAAGTTTGCGCCTAAGCTCTTTTACGCGAGCTTCTTGGCGTCTGATGTCATCATCAGTGACTATGTACGTCTAAACAAGGTATAAGGATCGAATAGAAATTACCTTTATCATCGGCTGTAAATGATTTATAACCACACAAGGGTTCTTTTCAATTGCAGATGGCTGTTGTTCCTGACCTGTTACAGGTGTGCTTCTCGTTGTGACAGCATTAATTATACTCTGAACAAGTTGATCGGAATCATAACCGGGGACACCAGCGCCTATGATAAAATAAGCAAACTCATATACTCTGAATTCCTTTAGGCAAATTTAGAGGCTTAAATACTTCACCCGTCTCAGGATCAACAGCGTGGTGTTTCGATAAGCGTTTTTCCCAGAATAACTGGCTATAATAGGTGGATTGAAATTACCTGATGAGCTAAATCTTGAGGTCCTCTAATGATGTCTGAGCGTTTGCTACACGGTTGTGATACGATCAAATTAGGCTGAGTAGCAATAGGATAAGGTGACCTCCTGGTTAAGGTGTTTGAAAATCCATCGATTTTAGGACCTACAAACAATCAAATGAATTGTAAATATACATTTAGAGGGTGGGCCACAATCGGGTAAATCGTTTCTTTTGAGTTTTTGAGACGGTGTAATAAAACGCCCAGTTCTCCAATCGAACAAGGATATATCATATTTATCACCTAGCGCCGCTTGTAGTCCTTGTTTCGTGCGGATCTTAGCACCATTTGGACTTTAAAAATTTAGTAATTTGTGGACAG